GGGGTGCTTTCCCGAATAGGAAGATGCGACGGTGGCCAGCCGAAAAAGGAAAGAATGGGGTGGGCACCGAAACTCAACAAAAACCAGAACGTACCTAGAATATGTCCATGTGGGGCAAGCGAGCGACGGTGTGCGAACCTTTCTCCCATGTACTGTGTGGAGGTCCGTTACCTTGTCGGCCACCTTTCGAAAGGGGTCCAACACTCAAATGTTCAGGACATCAGTGACCGTTGGTGGCACAGTGAGTGGACTCTCAATTTTCTGCACTTCGCGTGTGGAGTTCCGGCGGTCGTTTGTCTGTGGTGTGGGGATACCCCACCTCCTTCCCGTTTCTTTTTACACAGCGTGCCCTAACAGAGAACGCCACTGCCATAACCGTGTCATTGCTCGGAGTCTGTCCATAGGTTTGCTGTCGTTCATCGAACATTGAGCATAGCACCCTACTACCATATCTGCCAAAGCCCACGGACTTCGACAAAACCATTGTCGTGCCTCCATGGACAGGGACTAGGAGGACACACGTTTCTCAACAATGTTTGCCATCACCCATAGTGGGGGAACATGTGAAATGTCGCTACCATGGCCATGCTCAAAGTCGTCGCAGTCATGCCTCTCATGTTTCGGGATGTGTCCTCCCACCTGACGACCTTGGCGGGGGAATTACGCACGGTTTCGCTTTGGCGTTCATAGCTTCGCGGGAGATGGAAAGGCACATGGACAGTAGGCCCCGCATTTGGGTGTTGGACCACACTGAAGGAGTGTGGAAGGATCTCCAACGGCGAGGGGCAGTGCATAATAAGGTTTTTTTGCACTTCTGCAGACTACCACGGCCGCTGTTCCTTGAAGTGCTGGCTCGAATAGTGCCACACATCTAGCGCTCGCCTACCAAATTCAGGATGCCATTGCCCGCACGCCAGAAGTTCGCTTGCACACTCATTAAGTGGGCAACACGCGACTACTACAGGCAGTCATCCCATGGTTTAGGGATGGGGTTGACCAGCGCTTTGCGAAGCAATGAGGAGGTGGCCGACTCTTTAATCCACGAGTATGGTCATCTCCTGCGCTTTCCAACGGAGGATAGACTGGAGGAGGTCCAGAATGTTTTCGAGCGTAAGGGTTTTTCGGGGTGCGTTGGGGTCATTGATTGTGCTCATGTGTACGTTCACTAGCCCAAGGGGAAGCGATCGGAGTGGTACTCCCACCATATCGACGGGTTCTCCGTTGTCACTCAAGTGGTTTGTGACCATGAGTGCAAGATTGTGAGCGCCTTTGTCGGATATCTGGGTTCCATGCACGATTCAAGCCTGAGGGTTCTTCGCTTCTCGCTGCTCTTCCGCAATGTCAAAGATAACATACGGATGTTGGGCGAGGGTGGTGCTGTTCTCCATGTCAGGACTCATATTCGGTAGTACTTGCTCGGTGACACCGGCTTCCCTTTGTTGCCATGGCTCATGACACCCATCGGAAGGTATTTCAAAACGGTCGCAGACAGGACATACAACGAATGCAATATAGAGCCGAGATCTTGCATAGAGTGGACATTCAGGCGGTTGAAGATGGTGCGGAGAAATTTCATTCGAAGGCGGATTAGCAACATGAAAACCTTTTGCAACGAATTCATGGCTATCTGCATTCTCCACAACATCATGGCCCGGTAGAGAACAGCGTCCTCTCATGGAGGACAACTCCACGTGGGCGTTGGCAACAACAACGACGCTGTTGTGCCCGGGGAAGGCGATTCATGTCGGACCTGAACATCAAGGCAATGTATGCTGATGACGCTACATACGGCAGTAAGTTGGGTTCACGTGTGAGGGCCAGCCTTGAAGATCACGCCCGTCATCACGTGGCGGTTCACGGAGCGCCGCCACCGTGTCCCTGGCAGTAGCGCGTGTGTGACCCCATATATGTGTGTGTGTGTGTGTGTGTGTGTGTGTGTGTGTGTGTGTGTGTGTTATTTTTTTCCTTGCTGCATTTCGGAAGGGAAGTGAGGCTCGTTTCTTTGTTGAGTTGTGAGGATTATTTTTTTTTTCCCGGGTGAAAAAAAAAAGCGGTGAGATTTTTTTTTTTCTCTCTCTCTCTCTCTCTCTCTCTCTCTCTCTCTCTCTCT